GAAGAGAGAGAGAAAAAAAAATTATTGTTGAATTGAAGATAAAATTGAAAAAAAATTTGATGGTTTACGGAATCACAGTAGACTTAGATTTTAAAAAATTTTGTATCCGGACCCTTAATGTTAAGACCATTGAAAATTTTCGGGTAATATAATTCATTCCGTTGCTTGGAATGGATGAATTAAATAAGTAACTTAAAAAGTTCAAGAAATTGTTTAAAGGCACCTTGCTCTCTCAAAGGCATTTTTGCTCTCTCAAAGATAAGCTCAGAAAATAATTAATATTTCCCCTCCTACATTATTCATGACTACTTGCGGATGCAATGATCTAAGTGTACTGTAATTGTAAATTTTCTGACATGCATTTGGAAGTTCCTTGTCCATTTTCCTATGGAGAGACTGATTCGTTAAACAATCTAATGTAATAATTTGAATTATCAAATACTTCATGTGACAATCCCTTTATACCATAAACTAACAAAATTCTAATAACGACGGACGAACAAAATTAGGAGAAAAATTCGTCCTAATTTAGAAATCATAAAACATTTTTTTTTTTATTATTCGCCAAAGAAACGTAAAATTAAAGTAACAAAGAAACATTCGGACTTTGACTTTTTATTCTACAAACACATGTACATACATTTATTTATACAATTTTTTTTTTTATTGATAAACAAATTGAATGAAACCAAAAAATCTGTGAGATATTTTCCAGTAAAATAGTAAAATAAAAAATTTAAAGAAAATACATAAAAATCGAACTGAAAATCGAAAAGATATTGAAAACAATTTTTGAGACAATAAAAAATAAATAAAAAATGAATGGAATAAAAAATTAAATTGATTATATACATATGTATGACATGTACCTGTGTACATATATTTTGTGTAAATGGTAATGAAAGAGAAGCAAGAATTTACAACATAAATGAGGTGAACGAAGAAACTTAGAGGGAAAAAAAGTTAACAAAAAAAAAAAAAAATCACATTTTAAATTGTTTAGAAACAAAGTTGAAAATACAAATAAAATACAATAATAACAAAGTTATCGATAATCAACAAGGGAGACACAGACAGGTTGAAAATGATGTCCAAATTTTATATTATACATTTACTTACCTGTTTTCTTTTAACATGTGCATAACCAAAGGTGACATAAATTTAAAGAATTTGTTTTGGGTATGAGATCACAAGGGAATGAAGGTCATTTTAAAGATTAGAATGTTAACATTTTTTATTTTAGCAAAAACTTAAATGAATTGACATTTCAGGATAGTTAAATTGTGATTGACTTCTAAGTACAATGAGTAAATTTTGAAGCAATGGTGTTTATTAGCTAATATTTCTGCAATGAATGTTATTAAATTACTTTACCGTGGAGTAACACTATGTGTTTATTAATTAAGAAGCCGTCTGGTACTGAACAAACCATTTCATATTTTAGATATGTGAATTGGGGTGCTGAGCTTATCCACTTTATGCACTTTAATACCTGAAATCTCGTATTTTTACCAACAATCTGGTATTCGTTGAAAATTTGAGCAACATATTATGTTTAACGTGTTATAATTTGGTGATATTTCGATTAAAATTTGCAAAAATATGGCTCCGAATATTTTTAGATATGATATTATAAGCTGCAAAAATAGATAGAAACCATTGATACATCAGTTCCATTCAATTGAAATTTTTAGTTGTTTTTTTCCTTTAAATCAAAAATTCTTCTATTGGGTACGTTTGCAATGTTCTACTATTTATGTTTGTGCATATGTGTTTAACTGCAGAACTTGAAAAATATTGTGGTTTTCTTTGTTATTTTCTTAAATAAGCATCACACAAAATTTTTTTCACTCATGGCTTAACATTGTAATTGGCTCAAATATTTTAATAATACTGTAAATAATATTTTTTTTTGTTTTTGTAATCATTTTATGTCATCATTACAACTATGAACAACATAACAACTATATATAAGTAAATATGTCAAAATAATTGAATGAAAAAGAACTACCATGATAATTTTGTATTGTTTGTTGTGAATTTAGAAAATAGAAGACACATACCTACATCATTACATTTACACAATTGAATTTAATAAGTAACAAATATGATTCAGACCAACATCTATATGAAACATAATTTTCTTCTGCACTTTCATATTTAATATTTTTTTTTTTAGTCTATTATTATGACTTGGGATGATAATATTATCAGGGTCAACATAAATAAGTTCCTTGGCATTGGTGGGTAAATTTTATATTATATACTTGCAAGTATAATAATTGGAAATTATAAAAGAATGAATGGGAAAAATAGTTTATTTATTATTTTCAAGATGGTGCTGAGTTTTATCAAAATATTATTTTTAATGTACGTACATATACAGACAAAATATAATATCTATCATGTTTATATGTATATATTACTATTATGATTGTTACTATCAATTATTTGGATCACAATGCATGTCTTGTCGGTCTCAATTATTATTACATACATATTTTTTTCCTTCCTTTTAAAATATTGTTAAATAATATCGTTATTAAACTTGTACTCCGCATTATATTTCTAAGTATATATACTTAAATATCGTAATATATAGGTACTATACGACTTTTAAATGGTTGGCAAGGCAGCAATATATATAAGTATGGTATGGTATGGTATGGCAGTCAGAAGGGATAGTACGTTTAGTTTTGCCAATTTACTATTCCGTTCCGACTTTGTGTACAATACAATTAATATTAAACCGCCATCATTATTTCTATTATTGTTGTTTAAAAAAAAAATATAATTTTCTTCTTTTCTTGTTGTTTTTTTCTAAAAGATACAACAAAAATTTTGTTATATTCTGTAGAAAAATTGTAAGAAATGTTTTTTTTTTGTTTTGTAATTATATAGTGTAGTGATAGAAGAAACAGAATATAGAAGAAAAGAAAACAAGAAATAATTCAGATAATTGCCGAAGAAAAAGAGTGGCAATTAAAAAATAATGTTAAAATTTTGAAGAGCAAAAAAGAGATAGAGAATATGAAGTTCTATTCTTTTTCTACGGTGATAAATTGCATTAACGTTATGGGAATTTTTTTTCTCTTATACTAAAGTTTTTTCTTTCTCTTATACTTAAATAATATTTTTGTAAAAAAAAAATTACCATTGCATTTCTCAATTATACATTGGTAGTTTTCCCATTTTGAAAACATTATTTTGTAGCACAATCAAAATACATGTTCTAATTTTGTAAAAATAACTAAGTTAAAAAATTTGTCTCTTCAAAGTTTGAATGATTTACAGCTACAGTATGATCTACTACATTTAATGATTACAGCTTGATCTACTGCATATAATAACAAATATCGATTCGATTATTTGGAATTGAGAATTAATTGATTTGCAGAGGGCACCGAGCAGAATTTTTAAGAGTTGAAACTGCTTCATAAAAGTAGAATATTATGAAAGACTCAAGTATATATTAAATAATTTTCATATTGCAGATGTTCTCTATATGTCTAAAGATAAATCGAAAAATAAAAACGAAACATTAATTCGAATTCGTGTTTAAAAACTTCGATATATTAGTGGGAAATTTTCGATATTTTTGAAGACATATTTTTTCAAAAACCATTTCAATATTTGCACTTAATTATAAATTATGTACCTGATTACATTTCTCAATTACGAGTATTGCAAATATATGTATAAAATTTTTCATTATCTACCAATTTCACATTCTAAATTTACAGCTTTGTTCCATTATAATTTAAAATTTTCTTTCATTCTACAATAGTAAGTCATAATTTGTAAGTTGCAATTCAATATACTTTCTCAAATACTGAAATATACTTTCAGTATTGGATTATAAAATATTAAATCCTAGTTAAAAAAGTATGTTTATGATAATTGTTAAAACTGTAAAACTGTAATACTTAGTATAGGAGAGATAGAGAGAAATAAATTTGCAATAAAAATTCATACAAATGTCATACAATTCGTTTTAAATATCTAGTAGTTATAATCAGTTACTGAGCTCATATTATAAAATATAATAATTTTTAAATAAAATGCATGTGCATGCGCATACAAATCTATATATTTATTTTAAAATAGTGAATAGTAAAATAAGGCATAATATCGGAATTTCTAATTTGTATTTGTTCTTTTATATATATATATATATATATATATTACGATATTGTATATTGTAAGTTAATGCCCGCCGTTTATCAATTCAGTCCGGTTCGGTTTAGTTCCAATTTACACAGAAACATTCCATTAGAATTCCATCAACAAAATTTAGATTATAAAAAGTTTATATATGTATGTATGTATAGGTATAAACAATCCTAGGCGTTTTATACTTGTGCCGTATTTATGGTCATAGATATGTTGCGTTAGATTCGTTTGTTCATTCTTTTTTCAAATTCATTGCATTTGACATCTTAACCATGGTGCGTTTAATACGTTTATTTTGCAATTTTGTGTATACTTTATTTTTTTATAATGGAAAAAAGAGAGAAAAGAACAAATTTTTTTTCTCTATTTTATTTTTATTTATTTCTTAGTCATTAAATTTACAATTCCAGTTTTATACGCTCATTATGCTCTTTATACCGTAACATAGTTAGATATTTTTTTGTTCAATTTTTGTCGCTGATTGCGCTCCATGCTGTGTGTGCAATTTATGAAAAATATGGAAAAAAAAAAGAAATGCATTTAAAATATATTCAATAAAAACAATAAAACCAAAAAAAAAAAGATAAATTCATGCACTCGAACATGAAGTTAGACTTTGAACTTTAAAAACGAGTATTAATAGTTGCGTATTCATACGCATTCGTTCATTCAGAAACAACAACACACACACAAAAAAAAATTTTGCAACAAAAATTTTTTCTTGATTTTATTTCGCTTTTTTTTTTTAATACATTAGATTTTCTTTACTTGATTTGAAATATTTGCAATGAAATAAAAATATTTTTTTTTTAATTTTTCTTTTTCAGTACGATGATGGCCTGCATGGCTATATGGACTCTAGTGCAGCAGCAGCGGCAATGTATGATCCACATGCTGGACATAGGCCGCCTGGATTACAAGGTTTACCGCCACATCATTCACCACATATGAGTCATGCTGCAGCTGCAGCAACAGTTAATATGCATGGATATCATTCGGGACATGGTACACCTAGTCATGTATCACCGGTTGCTAATCATTTAATGGGGGGAATACCAGAAGTACTTAAACGTGATAAGGATGCTATTTATGAGTGAGTAGTTTTCTGTTTTCTTTTTTTATATTAATTATATTTATTATTTCTATATTTTATTTTCCATATAATTATTATATTAATTTATGAAGTAAATTATAATATGTACATAAGTAAATGATGTTTTACTTAAGATTTTGGTTAAAGAAAGAATGTTGAATGTTAGAAATACCGTAGTGTTGAAAATTAAATTGCGTATAAAAGAAATATGACGAATACTAGTATGTATTATGATTTATTTAATATGTATTAGAACATCCATTAAAAATTTTTAGAAATCTAATGCAAAATAAAAAAGTTGAGTAATTTAAGAGTCACTTTAATTCATAAAAGAGTTTCAATTCTTCGGTATAGTGTTTAAAAATATGGTAGAATTGTCCAAATGAAAAAGAACCAATTGATTACTCAAATGATTGAAATTTCATAAACAATTAATTCCCGCCATTTTTCTTTCTCATTGATCTGTCAGAAAATTTAACAGAGTAATTCCTATTTTATGTTTATCAAAAATGTGTGATGTCAAACAGTGTTCTCGTATAAATTCAGATTTGATCGTAAATCTTGGCCAAATTTCGGCCTTACCTCGGACTCTTCAATCTCGATTCAATTTAAATTTGAAAATATTATTTTTTTAATTACAAAGTTCTTATAGACACTAATAGGTACTTAAATATTTCATTCAAGTAACTTGATAAATAAAGAACACGAATTTTTTATTATTTTATAATTACATATTTACATATGTAAGTAAGTATACGAGTATTATACTTATGCATAATTTCAAAAAAAATTCCAATGCAAATCATTAATCATTGTCTATAAAGGATTAAAGTATAACAGGTTTTTGAAATTATCACATGAATCAAATTGTTTAAGTAAATTATAAATATGCAAATAACTAAAGATATTTTATAATTATGATAATTTTTATTTCTTTTTATTTATTATTAATTTAATTTTCGCATTACTATTTAAAATATTTCACTTTTTCATTTAAAAAAGGGTATAATACGTGGCTAGCAAAAATATCTATTTATTAAAATCACGCCATATGTACATATATACATATATGTGCTTATGTGTGCATATCATGTGTTCACGTATTTATTTATTTTATTATACGCCAGCTTGCAAATTATTTACCATGAGAAAAATTTACATCTTCATAACAAGTCAAAAAAAAAAAAAAAGCATACAGCTAGCTACTAACATTAATTTAGATATAAAAAAATAAATGAAAAGCAATTGGCAATCAATTGAATGTTATGTTAGACTCATGTAAATCTTAAAAAGTCAAAATATGCAGATTGAAAAGAAAAAAATAATATTCATTCCATAATGCTGAGAATTTTAAAAAAGCGCGACTTGATAGAAAAAAAACTCGGAATGTTTTCAATTTTTTTCACTTTATTACTCATTTTATATAACATTAACATATTTTTTTAATAAAAATTAATCGTTACTAACAAAAATTTAATTAATGTAATTAGTTGCGCTTTTTTATAATTAGAAAACATAACAAAAACAAAGAAAAAAAATTAATAATTTTTAACAACTATAATAATGTTATAAATATTGTTGAGAGAGAATAACGAGACGATTTTATTATGCATAAAGCATTTAATTGCATGGTATTAGTATGGTAGTAATAATAGATAAAACAAAAGGGGAAATTCTAAACAACAGCTAAAGAGAAAATTAAAATAATGTTAATAAGAGCAAGAAAATTCTATACTCATTTTAATTACAAGAAAACATTTTGTAATTTGAAAATGATTGAGTGTAATTTTTATTACAAATTTTTTTCTTTATATTTTTCAAGTTTAAACCGATTTATTATGATATTGATAGCTTGAAGTTCATATCATACTGTTATGAGAAATGAGTATATTGTTGTGATAATGATGAATATGATAATGATGATGATGACTTACATGATTTAATCAATTTATATGTATTTAAGAAAATAAAAAGAAAAATGTAAAATTTCTTTGTCATTATTTTTTTTTCTTAACTAACATTAACCTTATTTTTACATTTCATATTGTATAAGGGAATAATTTTCTATAACAGAGAGAGAGAGGAAGAGTATATTATAATAATAATGTGTAGATAAAATGCATCTGGCTTTATATTTCATACACTATTAAGATTGTAACAAACTTTAGTACATACATTATGGACATACATATATGTATATCTATTAAGTACCTACTTGTATACATACATACCTTCATTAATATTATTGATGAGAATAACATATTAACAAACTAATATTATATTTATCTAAACTTGTATATCAAAAGAAATTAATGAATATATATGTACATACACATGAACATCCATGCACAATATTATAATGTATGTGAATAAAAAATAAGGAAAAGAACACAAAAACAAAAATTATGAAAAATATGAATATAATGAATTTTGATGGATTAACTTAGGCTAGACGACCTATGTATGACTATGTTAATCAGATGTTTCAGATGGTAGAAGATCAAAAAAAAAAAAAAAAAAATCATAATAAAAGCAAACTATAAATGAAAAGTAGAAACACGAAAAAAACGAAGGTACCTACATTCATTTTATTTGTATTTTATTCTTGTTAGTGCTATGCTAGTTGGGTATTAAATGCATATATCATAGTTTAAGGTACTGCTGGTTTTTCATTTTTAAATATGTATGATGATTATAACTGAAAAAAGGTCTTCATCTTTCTTCATATTTTTTTTTTTTGTTTTATTATTTTTTCTTATTTTTCTTTTATATTTGTTTAAATTATAAAGAAACAATGAAATATTGGAATATACATATATACCTACTTATAGTTTATGTATAGATTTTTCATATTTCCATGATCACATTTTAAAATGTTTTTGGTGTGGTGCGGTGCGTATAAGTATAACGTTATTATTGAAAATGAAGAAGAGTAAAAAATTCAAGGTTTATTTTTTGAAATATTTTGTATTGAAAATATTCAAGTTCACATTTACACGAACATATAGTATATATATATATATATATATATATAGTATAGACAAATGTTTGTGTGTATATAAGTTGCAACATTTTTAAAATGCATTTTGATTACGAATAAAAATTCAAGAAATTCTACTCTTTTGTATTGTTATACGAAATTTTTTTTTTTATTTTGTGATTTTTGTTTTGTAATCCAGAGATTTCAACTGATATTTCAAATAATTTAGTAATTTCTAATCCAAGTAGATATGTCAAAATACCTGTAAGTAGGAACAACTTTTCTAAAATTTACAAAGTAAAGTCAATTTTCTGTTTTCCTAAGTCTGCGTTACGGCAACTTTTATTTTAAAACACAGATAAATTAAAGTGAATGAAGAGTTTCATTTCAAGAGAAAAGCGTGTGTATAGCTGGGCCGTGACAGCAATAGCTGACTTATACTTAAATAAAATTTGGCTCGAAAAATTTTCACAAAATTGGAACACCAGAATAATCATTTATGAACAAATCATTCAAGATCAGTTCAACAATTACTTGAAATCAATTTCCAAAGACAATAATCTAAATTCGATTTCAAATTTTTTTTAATGAATTGAAAGTTTGAGAAACATTCGCAATATACCATTTAAATTTTTTTTTCTTTTAAATTCCCTTTAAGTACATAAGATACCTATGCCACCACCATATAAAGAGCAGCGGTCACATGTATTTATAAATGTTTTTTTTTTTCTGTTTTTGCTTTATTTTACAAAATTTTTCACTTACTTACTCTGACTCTGTTATAACTGAATTTTTATTCAGATATTTTTTTTTGGCAGATGTTTCCATTTCGTTGATTCTTTTTTTAGTAGTTCGCCTTTTTGTTTTTTTGTATACTTATACTCGTAGATATAGTCGAAACTTTAGAAAAAGCAACATGAAATGGAAAAAATATAAAAAAAGAAATAAATGATCAAATTGAATTGAATGCGTTTGGTGTTACATTCTAGAATTCTAGAATATTTTCTACGAAAAGAACAATCGAACGTCGTATGTATGCATACATGAATGGCAAAAAAAAAAAAAAAAAAAAGGAACACAACACTAACGAGGAATAAAACGACACTTTATCTCTGTGCTCTCCTTTTTTATAATTTTCACTCTCTCTCTGTATATAATCCGCGCTGCTGCTTTAATACAATTTTATAAATGGAAAAAAAAAATTAAATCCTCCAATAGCGTTTTGATTATAACATTTTAAAAAGGTTCTAATTTGAAGGACTCGAATGAAAAAAAACAAAACAAATGTAGGCTATTATAAAGGGAAAACAAGAAAAAATTAAATATCAAGTTAAGTACTCTCATATAGACTCTTTAAAAATATTTTTTTAAGGATTTTCCAAAAATTAGGGAGAAAATGAAACATTTTCAACTTAATATACATATACAAACATATGCATATTTAGATGTATTTAAAAGGCACAGCTTAAGGAGTCAAATAACAACTGCTGAGTTAAGTGACAGTCCCTTTTTTACTTTAACTTACACGCATATACGTACACCTTAATGTTATTTTAGTTAAAAATGAAAGCTGAATTCATGTTCTTTGTTTCATCAAATAAAAACAGTTGGAGTGAGGTTTTAATCTAATTTTTTAAAAAAAAAAATTACTTCAAAAGAAAAACACACTAGGTGTTCCAGTCTAGGTTACTAGAGCAGAAAGAAGTACCATTTTTTTCACATTAAGTAAATTAATTTTTCTTTTTTTGTTTTATTGTTTTTGTGCATTTAAATGCGTTGCGCTTTATAGCTACCTACCTGTTCCTGCCAATTTCAAATACAAAACATATTTTTTTTTTTTAAATATTTTCATTTGAAATTTAAAAATTGAAAGTATTTTTTTGTTTAAATATTATTTTTAAACACAGCAGGAATAAGAGAATATACCGATTTTAAAGATTAACTGAAATTGATCGGAACGCAAATTATTCTCTGTCAATAGTATGATTTTTTGTTTGGTAGTTTTTGTCGGAGAATACGC